CTATATCAACGATGAGGTATTTGACTCTTCTAAAATTTCCTTATTGCATAATGAATTACTTGAAGCATTTCATAATTTATATGATAAACCCAAAAAGATTAGTAAGAAATATAATTCACTAAACATGATCATGTATTACTTACTAATAAATTTGATATATTAAAAATTATACATGATAAATATACATCAACATTTTGTACTCCTTGCACTAAATATGAAGATTTAAAATCATCTAATCTCGAAATTAAAAAGGAGTTATTTCAAAAATCACATGCTTTAAAAAATACAAAACAACCCTAATTGCCATGAATGAGAAACTAGAATATTGCTTAGAAGAATCAATTCATAGTAAAGATATAATAGAATCTCTTAAAAAGAAAAACAAGTTTCTACAACAAACATTAAAAAAAATTAAAATTAATAATAAGTCATTTGATATGATTCTTACTAAACAAAGTTATGCATTTAAAAAAGAAGATATTACTTTTATATATAATAGCATTCATCAAAAGCTAACTAAATTTATAAAAGACCCATACTACATATTCCTCGTAAAGGTAAACGTAATTTTTATGGAGAGTTTGGTCACTGTGCTTATACAATGCTCTTTTAAGATAATTAGTTTGGATTCCTAAATGAATTATAAATGATTTAAAGCTAAAAGATAAAAAAAGATATATCTAACAATGAAGGACCCAAAGTTAAATGAGTACCTAAAATAAATATCTCTTTCTTGTAGGTGTTTCTCCAAACAAAAGCTAAAAGCAAAAAGTGGTATTTTGATAGTGGATGTTCAAGGCATATGACTAGAGATCATACAAACTTTTCAAAGCTCACTGAGATGGAGAATATGTTACCATCGAAGATAAAAACAAATGAAAAATCATTGACATTAGAAATATTGGTAATAAATTAAATCTCTTGATTGCGTATGTGCTTTTGGTAGATGTTAAAATTAGAGATAAAAAAAAAAAAACTTATTATCGTTGAAAATATTGGTAATAAATTAAATATCTTGATTAGAAATCAAATCATCAAGATCAATAATATAAACATTATCACATTTTAAGACTATCAAAGATTTATTCTTATTTGGTATTTTTTGATATAAGCATGAGATTCAAATTTAAATTATATCCCTTAGCATAAAGTTGACTAATGCTTATTAGGTTGTGTTTCAAACTATCTATCAAAAGCATAACTTCAATCAAGAGATTTAATTTGTGACCAATATTTTTTATATCAATGAGTTTTTTCTTTGTTTTTGTTTCTAAAGATAACATATCCTCTATTTCGACTAGAGCTTTGAGAAGTTTGCTGGATCTTCGATTATATACTTTGAGTATCCATCATTATTATACTATCTTTTTCTCCTAGCTTTTTTTATAGACAAACCTATAAGAAAGATAGGATTTACTTTAGAAGTGGCTAAATTTTTCATAAAAGTTGCATTTAACTTTAGAAGTATGCAGTGGGTTCTTTTATAAATTTGGTTGGCTTTTAATGTGTGCTATTATTTGTGAAGCCAATATCTTCTTTCTAAATACGTAATTTTATTTAGCAAGAATTATCAAGTAGCTTATTTCTAATTTTAAGTTTTTCTAATGTTTGTGATGGAAACTTATTTTCTTTTTTAAGATATTCTATTATATCATTACTATCAATTTATTCTTTGAAGCAATATTCTAATTTCTCATTCATGACAATTATGTTATTTTTTATATTTTCCTAAGTATGTATTTTTGAAATAACTCCTTTTTTAAGTTCAAGATTAGATAATTTTAAATCTTCATATTTAATACAAGGTGTACAAGATGTTGATAAATATTCATCATTCATAATATTTAATATATCAAATCCTTTAGTAAGTAATAAATGATCTCTTTTTAGTGAACTATATTTCTTACCAATCTTTTTGAGTTAGTCATATAAATCATGAAATACTTTAGATAATTTTTCATGTGATAAGGAAGTTTCAGAAGAGTCAAATATTGAATCTTAGATTTTAATGATGAAATCAATTTATGAGTTCATGGGACTAATATGCTTTTGAGATAAGTGATAAATGAAAATATTTCAATCATAGAATCAAACCACTAAGGGTAAGCCATCGGGCAAGAGAGTCGGACGTTGTACCGAAAAATTATCATGTCAAAAATTAGACATCAAGTCAAAGGATTGATGGACGTGTTGGAGATCGTACTTCATATTATAGGTTTGAGTATTGTACCGAAATAATCAAATATTACGTTAGAAAATTAGATATTGTAAGAAAGTTGACATGTTAGTGGAATAAGCCATATGTCAAAGGAAAGAATAATGTGTCAAAGGTTCGGACAAAGTGCCGAAAGATCATATGATATGCTGGGAGAGCATACAACATGTCAAAAGCTTCAAAAATGCGTCGGATGTATTGTTGATCTGTCATAGTCTTAATCAAAATTATTTTAGACCAATTTGAGTTGGTATTAAGCCAAAACAAAGCCCACTTGTCATGAAAGTTGTTGCACTTGAAGTGGGGCTGAATTAGGCTATTAGAAAGCCAAACTAATAGCTTGGGCGATGATACCACCAGGCCCAAGCGATAGTACGCTTAAGTTAATCAACAAGCACTATTTATTTCACATCTATTTTATTAAAATTTGAATATGAATGAGTTTGAGTGAAACCACTAAAATTAACATATATCAAGTCAAACACCGATTCAACCTTAAAAATATCTTAAGCATTTAAGGTGCGAACCAAATATGATATATATAATGTAACTCTTTTATATCTAGTAACGTGAGACTATCTTTTTATCCATCTTCTTTTATATCATACATACAAATATTTTTAATATATTTTTCCTATTTTTAATATCTTTTCCTCATGTGTGCTAATTGTCTTCCCCTTACCCTTAAGGGTTCAAACTTTATCTGTATTTTTAATGCTGTGGGATGATTTGCTTCTGGGGGGGTATGAAACGGAGAAAGAGAATGAGAGAAGAATAGAAAGGAGAAGAGAAGCGAGAAGGAAGAGAGAGGAGAAGAAAGGAGGGGGAAAAAAAAAGGAGAAAGGTTCGTGGATAGGAGAAAGAAGTTGAAGAGAGAAAGGGAGAAAATGAGAAAAGAAAAAAATTGAAAAAAATTAAAAAAACAGAGAAATATATTGAGGATCCTATTGGGTATTGGATGAATTTAGATTAATTCCAAAAAAAATTATATGAGGTATAATTTTGAATTCTCTTATATTATTATTAATTAGATTTGTGTTTTTGATTATCGATTGATAAATCCTAAAGTTCTTAGTTAATTTGATGTTTTTATTATAAAAAAATAAAAGAATGAAAATTTGCGATGTTGGAAACATAAGAAAATAAAAGGAGGCATCAAAATTATATGCTTCTATCGGGGTTATGCAATTATGGTAAGTATCCAATGACTCGTTTTTAAAAAATATTAATATATGTATTTAGAATTTATAAATGCATATGATTTACATGATTTAGAACTTCTTTTATTATTCAAAAATGTTGTAAAAGAATTTAGATGTTGATAATTTAGAAAAGCATATGGTAGTTATATTGTTTATAAATATTTTTAATTTATCTAAATTTGTATGAAAATATTTGAACAGTATTATGTTTGAAAAAGATTAAAAAATATATGATTGTATCAATTTTGAGATGATATGTAAAAAGGATTTGTTTAAACTCTTAGTTTTATAAAAAATAATTGATATTTTATTTTTTTTATATAACAGTTGTCTAGTCAGTACGATTATAATCTGGATTCTACTAATGCAATGGAATATGTTTTAGAAATTAATTTATTTTGGGCCTTAGCATAGGGAGATATGAGTTATCTAATAGCATGAGAGTTAAACATGATTCTATACCTTGTCATAGGGATATAACATGATCATAATCATTGATATTAGTATGACTTTTATTCTAATATGTATACCTGAGCTATATTTATTTATATAAATGATAAGTCTTTGCACTAAAATATTTTATAATTTGATATTATGAAAATTCATTCAAAGATATGATATTCTAAAAAGTATTATTATTCAAAAAAAAAACAACGAAGGCGGGATTTTAGCCTATCATCTTATGATATACTATCAAAATCTTTATTAGTTGAACTAGCTAACACCTTGTATATTTTGATACACAACAAAGTCTTTGTAAACTATATAAGCATGAAGAAAATATTTGATATCCATGTATATTTTGAAAGCTTGTATTAAATACATAATAAATTTATTATTTTAAAAAATTATTTATTTAAGATAAGTTTTGATTAGCATGTGAGTCATAGTGCTTAGTAAGTTAATCCGTATATGAAGGAGGCCTATCGGTTATCTACACTTAACTTGTATGATAGGTGGTTTCTGTCTAGTCAAAAGTCATGTCTATCATATCATATCTTTAATCAACAGACCAACAATGGGTGTCACGATAGTTAAATCCGAAATTGTAAGATTTAGTAAACTCTTGTTTTGAACCCGCTTCATATCGAACGAGGAAAAAGGTGTATGTTCATTGAAAGAAGAAAAGGACGTGTATGAGTGGAAGAGTAATCAATCGGAACAACACGGGAGCAACTGCAGTGTCACTAGATTTGTTATAGTGATTTCACAACCGTACAATTAATTCATCTCACATTTCTTTCCCTCCTCTTAACGACTCCTAAACAGTCATTGTATTATGCTTTACAGGTAAGATGCGGTAAACTTCAGGATGGTTACCTCTGAGAGTGAAGTTAAGTCATGTCAACCAAATTACCTTTAGGAAGGAAGCTCTTTATCATGTTGGGCGAAGCATGCGTTTTCTGAATCTGTCAGCTTGTTTCTGCGAATCGACATTAATCTCATTACAAAATGGGCAGGTCTTTACCGCATGCCTCCACTACTAGCATCAGCATCAACATAAAACCGTCTCCAATACAATTTTTGGACATCCAAAAAGTTTATAAAACATTTTTAATGAAGAAATATAGGCAACAAATTTGATACGACACCAGCCCACAAGGAACTAAAACATTAACGGTTCACAAGAAAATTTAACATAAAGCAGATAATCAAGTTTTCAACATAATGTGTTCTAAGCAGTCTCACATGAGACAACTGAAATAGCTAAAACCACATAAACATAAACCAAGTCTGTAGCTTGAAACCAAATCCATAGCCAAATAGAAATACACTACCTGGTTAGGCAAGAAATGCCATGGAGTTTCATCAGCGCAATCTCCTTGCCTCCCTTTCGGATTCAAGAAGGGTAAGGATATCGCCTTCCCTCACCGGGCCCTTCACGTTCCTCATGATCAGCCGGTTTTGGTCGTCCAGAAACTTAACCCTAACCTGGGTAACCTGACCTCTTGATCCAGTCCGGCCCATCACCTTCACCACAACTGCAAGCTTAGCTTGAGTATCCATGCTGTTCATGTAAGTTGCAGAGAATTCAATTAGATCATACTGTTCATTGTAAATCCCACTTCTGGAACAAAAACTGAAATACCAAGGAAAAACAGCTCAACAGTTAAACCAGATTAAATGAAAAGAAGCAAGTTGTAGCAATGTCAGCCAACTTCATCATTCTTCATTGTCCGTTGAGTATATAAATATGATGTGTTGCCAATGATGATTGTACAAGAAAGTAGCCTTGTGTTATTGTGAAATATATATGCATTGACCCAAATAATATATTGTGCTAAAGCAATATACACAGTCAGTCAGTCTGCTATTGGCAGGAAAGTCAAAGATGTATTGCCTATTGTTGTGGCAGTATGTATAAATCGAACCATACGGTATATTCTGCTAAAGAAACATAAAAGAATCCATGTCTGGTATATGTGCTGCATAAAGTAAATTGAATCCCATCATTCATGATGAAAATTTACTTGTACAGTACATGGCTTATAGTGAAAATATATTTGCCTTAGAATGGAAGCACTACAAGATCAAACAGGCAATCATAGTTATTTAAGGGCTGGAGACATGAACAACCAAAGAGTCCTAAACTAAATTTTAAGATGTTTAAATATAGATCATTTACCATATTTTCTTTACAATTTCAGAAAATATTTAGAGTATAGTTAGGAATTAAAATAACTGGGCCAAATTATTCTAACTTGGATAAGTAGCATTTTTGCCATTACCCTAGCTAGCTAACTAACTGGTGAGGGGGCTATTTAACCCACCCTCAGTTGAGTTATTTAATCAGGGGTTATCCAGGTTAAACTCTTTCAATCAAGTTATTTTAAACCATCTTAACTGCAGAGAGTTGGCAGGTCAAACCAATAACCATGAGCATAAGCCTCGTTAACTCCAAACCAAATGTCGTCAAGAAGCTGCAAATTTTCATTTTAGCAGTGCCACACACCTAGAGCAGGCACCTGGATGGATGCTTGAACCAGATTGTAGTGTTTCTTCACAAATTTTTTTTTAGAACTCTTCTCACATGATTGGACAAAATTACTGACACTTTGACAAATGTAAGCATGAAGCATGTCAGCAATAGCAGGAATTGTCCATCAAAACAGAGAGGAGTTATTAGAATTTAGTATAGGATATTCATGTGATTTTTTATGTCTTTATCCACCAGTGGTTCACTTGATAACACTTAACCAACATAGAAGTTCTTCCATGGGTCATACATACTACATACATTTTCATCAGCCACCTCATATTATGATACTAGATCAAAGTGAAAAACGCCCTTGGCATTTGAAGTTAGATCATATAACGAGAGGATCTATATAATCATAGAATTAAAGTTTTAAAAAAGAAAACCTATAAGAAAGAATTGTATATTTTGTCAAAGAAATGTACTAGTCACAAATAATCGCGTGTGATAACTAACATCATATCAACAGAAAGAAGACAAGTGCATCGATGACAATAGTATTTCTTACTTTTTTTAATGTCAAATGGACAGAATAAGATATGTTACATAAAATATGAAATACTTGATGGGTCATCTTATATAGTGAACCACAGTTGACACTTGAAACAATTTACATCATGGATGAGTAGTCAATCACCCGAATTTTTAATACACGTTCATGAACCTTGTACAAGATTCAACATCACAATGTCAATCAGCATTACGAATCTGCTGTCCCAGAGGAAATTAACAATATATCATTAAGCTAAATCTCGACCCCTTAGTTATTCCAAGGTTTCTTATTTACTAGAGATAGACATTAATAACAACTGTTCAATTGTAAACAAATACATAACCCCTGACAGTTGCACACACCACTAGAGGCATTACAATTTTCAATATCTTGAAACAAAAAATGATACCTCTAGTGAACTAGCATGCCTTCAACATATTTGCACAATAAAGAATTTTGGTTGACCGGAGGATTACCATCCAACATGCTCGAAGGGTCAATATAACTACTTTACATAACAACATACAACAGAACACAATAATAAACACCAAGAACAAACTAGTGGGATAGCTTATGTACCTTCTGCCGATAAGAGTGTTTGAATCCACACACCAAAGACAACCGCTCCTAACAAATAAGTGACTAAAAATACTTGTGTCAAACAAGACACAGGAAAACAAATACATATGTATTTTGGGGCATTTCAGGTCCTACGTTCAACTAAGATCACTAAAAGCAATAAGAAGGCAAAATTAATCTGCTGTTGGAGAGTAAAAATGCGTAACTATAACTGCGACGTAACAATATTCCACACTGATTAGCATAAAAGGACCCCCAGAATCGAGAAAACAACAAAAGAATAAGAAAACATGTCAAAAAATTGCAATGATTGGTTAATATAATGCAAACCATCAAGAAAAGTGAAAAGAAGAAAGATTCATTGATTCCGAACCTTTCCGGAAATCGACTCGAAGAAAAGGGGACTCCGCTCTCGCTCTCTTAAACGGCAACGGGTGACGGCGAGGAAACCCTAATCGTTTATATACGCATATATGGTGAGCCGGACCGAGACGAGACGATGTAAGTTGGGCTTACTAAATGTAAAGCTCGGCCCAGAATTCAAATGTAGAGTAGTCGTATTCGAACCCAATTCCTAAAGCATTTTTATAAGCTCGGATCAACCCGACTCAGCTCGAGCTCAAAATAGTAAAAAGACGCCAATCGATGTCCAAAATTTTAGTCAAATCTTGGACCCAAAGACTTTTTATTAACACTTGTTACTACAAGAATGAATAGGAACAGCAAAAATGAATACTTATTTTAGTTGTATAATAATTTAATTATCTATAGAGATGTTATCATTCATTTACAAGTCAGCTTATGAGTTTTCTATATAATTTAATAGCAGCCCTACCGATATACCGACTATTATGAAGCGAGTCTTTGCCCACAGACCAAATTGAGTCTGTTTGAGTTTATAGGCGAGTTTTTCTATAATGATTCACTTGGTGGTTCTAAGCTAACCGTGTTTCATTAGAACCGTCTTTTCGAATTTGATTCACTAACAAGTCGACGCATTTGCCTCCTTACGGATTCAATTCAAGCATATGCAAATTTCATCCGAATTCAAACCCGAATTTGACAAGCCATTTAGGATCTAAACTGGAACTTAAAACATAGACTTGGGTGTCTACTTTCCTGCTCTTACCCAAACCCGATTAAAGGGTACTTGAATCTAGCTAAAGGGATCGGTTCTATCAAATAACAGATTATAATAGGTTTAAGCTATTGTATTTCGGCCTCTCTTATTTGAGAGAGAGATGAAGCCTTACAACATGAAGTTCTTACTGATATAGTTGCCCTTTGGCCCATCCAATCTCGTGCAGCAGATGTCTAACATGAAATATGATCAACAAATGTTTTTTTCAAGGGAAGAATTGTTGTTCCATAAGATTTATCGATCACAGAATGAGATGTTACGGTACCTCGAAATAGGATTTTCTAAGGTGAAGAAAAACACGCACGTAAGATTATGCTTAAGATTCAAATATAAGATTAAAATCCTACAAGTATATCCCCAAGAATCAACATGGGATTTTAAGCTCACATTATTAAAAGGCTTTCCACACGTTCGCACTTGAACATCATTTATTATGAACATCAATAATGACCAAACGACACTAACCACAAGGTAGTTACTATATGAACATTCACAAATCCATCCACACTTGGTGCCAAATCATTGTAATCGACATGACTGCAACAGCCTCTTCAACCAATCCCCTTCCACTATAACCAGAAGAATTCAACAAGAACAAACTTCTTCACCCTTTCACAATGTACACCTCAGATAGCAAATACACATCCGGGAGTCAAATTTATACACCACCCCACCAAAATTGCAAAATTCCCTTGCAGCATAAAGAAAACTCAATCTGCCCTCACGCTTCAATGGACTCGATGAATAGACATAAAGAATGATAAGCAATAATGATATAAACTAGGAAGACATGTGAACCAGAAAGTATGGTTTGACAAGCGGCAACAACATCCGGGGAGTTATGAAGATAATATAGACTGCAGTGCAAGCTGCTGCTGAGGCTGCAAGGTAGACCAGGTTGAGGCAAGGACAGCCGGTGGTAATGTCTGCTGAATCTGCTTCAAGAGATTGATCATCCGGCTGATGGTTTGTTCTGTGGCCAGATCTTTTCCTGCACACAAAACCTAGAGACAAGAAGAAAAAATAATTCAGGCATTCAATAACCAACATAAAATTGCCACAAAAAGCAGTACAACCAATAGTGTCTCCAAAAGATGTTTAAGTAAAGGCAATTCAAAATCTAGTTATTATTGATAGAGCAAAGTAGAAATTTAACTACAATAGCTGACAGCAACAAGCCAAGGACATACCAAGCATTCCTTCCAAAAATGATGAACAAATAATAAGATTTTAGTTCAGACACATATTTTAGTCCAAGGTTGTAAACAAAATTGAGTCTGACTATGGACAGTACACAAAAAAGTAAAAAATCCAAGAAAATAAACACATACAAAATGCAAGGTAATAGGGGTTTTGAATATCACAGTTAGCCAGCATCTGCCTCATAAATAATATAATTCACAAATCCTAAAGTTGACAAGAAAAACATATGCATGGTAAACTTATGACACGGTGATCTTCCGTTTCTTCACACAGAAGTGTTCTCAAATTTTGCAAGTGTTATCAAATTTTATCATGTCATGGTAAACCATTGCTATGCAATCTGAAGGTGAAGAAGATTTTGGTATCAATGAAGGTTCTATCAAGCACGTTGGGAAGAGCTTCATACCAACCACAGGTTACAATCACTTCATAGTAAGACTACAAGATCTAGTGGAAGAAGCCAAATTAAGTGCATGACTTACCCACAGAAAAAGAAGGGAAAAAATGAAGAGTAGTTAATAGATACCTCGGCAAACACAGAAACTATTTTAGGAATATGCTGGTTGTTTGGGCCTAAAAGCTCCCTATCCGACCTGTGAACAGAATTCAAGATCAATATTCAACCAAATACCAAACCTGAAAAAGATTGAAAAGAAATAATTTATCAAATAATCTTATAGTTTCAGTTCAAGATACCTTTCAATCATAGAACAAAGTTGTTCATGAACTATTTTAGCCTCAATTAAGTCATTTTTAATCGGCAAGCAGCCCAACCAAGCAGGAAAAACCTGCCAGCAGTAGTAACATATAATTGTTATGACATGGGATAGCATCCATCAAAGTCAAACAAAAAATGTGGTTCCTAAAAATATATGTTCAAGCAATGATATAAGATCAATGCTTAGTTACTAAAATGCCGATACTGCAATTTTAAATAAGTACACTTTTCATGTGAACAGAAAAATAACACAAAAACATACATGCTTGCACATGGTTCAGGTTTAAGAAAGGTTAGGCTGAAGGTTATTGATTTTAAGTCTAAGGTTCCCGAGATAATAGGGTCTAATTAAGAAAGGAAAGGAATTAAACCCAAATAACCTGGGATAAAATAAACCTATCTAATTTCCTTTTGCTAACCTAGATAACTCATGCTTCAGCAAATAAATGAAAAATACGGTCAAAGTTAGCCATGTTAGGACACTTCAACTCGAGCATTTTATCACTAAACCAAGCAACGCTTTGTGGGTAAATGACAAATAGAATGGTGTTGTGTCTTACAACTAAAAACAACTTGAGGGCATAAAGATTCAGATAATTCAATCCCAAAGAGCTATTAATCAAATTGAACAAATATTTATAAGTTGCTACATAAGTACATCAAGATGAATGACTTATTAAACATTATGCCATGTGAACATCAGATATACAAAGGAATTCACCGTGATGAGAACAAGAAAGAGTGAGTTAGTGAGAGGGCTTAAGATCCAAAAATTGAAGATTTATGACCTTGATCAGCCACCAAAACTGGCTTAGAATATCAGTGCCATTGATCCTACTAATTGATTGTGTAGCATGCGAACTTTAGTACACTTATGTAACATTCAACCGCACAAGGACATCAGAAAGAACAAGAAACAACCTTAGTTGCATCAATACCATCACGATGAAACTGGCATATTTTTCCAAGAGCTGAAACAGCATTGTCATATGCCATTACATTGTCCGAGTGCATTGCATCAGGATGTCTAATAACATTATTCAACCTTGACAGGGCCTCTGCATAAGGTAAGAAAAATATTATACAATATATGTATTATATATTTATTAATTTATTTATTTCAGGAACTGCAACAAATGCAAACTTCAATGTGGTTACTGATTAACATCATGGAAACAAGATACCTCCAACCAGAGGCCGAAACACAGAACCACCAAATTCAGCACAAACACCAACTCCATAAACAGCAGCCTGGAAAAGAAAAGGATAGTCAGAAGACTCAGAAGTAACAATTGCAACTGGTGGCATAGAAACCACAAACTAGCTCCATGACGAGGCAAAAAAGAATCCAAACCTGTCTAACATCTGCATTCTCATCATTGCATGCTTCTAATAGGAAAGGAAGATAGGTATCATAATATCTACCAAAAATAAATAGATAATATTAAGCAAAGATAAAGACAAATATTCAGACAATTAATTGATTGAAAATTCATACTTCAGAGCTGCTTCCTGGCATTGTTCTGCAACATCATCAAAGATGCAAATGGCAATCCTTCTCTCCTCAGCTGTTTTATCCTTGCCCTGCATGCAAAAGACAATGGATGACCCTGCTAACAAGAAAATTACATGAAGTAGATGAACTTAAAGTCCTAAGCAGAACCTATTTAAAGGAGATCATAAAACAAAGCAAAAGGTGTTGAGTAACTATAGTATTATATTAATTAGAAATACAAGGGACTGAACCTTCTAGGTGAACAACTATGATCAGTTCAGGGGCACATATAATCTGATACAATATCAAATTATGAACAGCACAATAATAGAACAGTTGGTATTGTCAATAGAAGCAATTATAACTGAAGCATGAGGGTGAATAAAAACACTAGATGACCTTAACTGAGAGTTGCATAAAAATTAAACAAATTAGGAAATTGGAACATTCCTACTTATGAATGCATTTCCTCAAATTGTATTAAAAATATTGCTTGAACCCTTTAAATGAAAACGTAGTTGAAGTGAACGAGCACGGTGTAAGATACTCAATAATTTATTTTCGATTCACTGAATAATACCTGTAAAATTCCCAAATCTTCTACTACATCACAATTTTTTAGGCCATAAGATCTAAAATGTGACTCTTGTGATAGTTTATTATTTGAAGTATAGGGTCAGCTAAAATATTCAAGGAGTGTAAATACATATTAATTGCAGGACACAGGCCCTGTTTTCTTCTCCCTTCTTCTTGCTATTTGTTCTATGGTTAGTTCATCTTCTAGACACTGCATTGTACTTCCATTAGCTGCTAAGGTTTGTAACCACAACTGCTAGAAATATCAGCAACGCAGCAAAAAATAAATAACATCTGCTCCAAACCAAGTCCAATTATGCATAATTACCAGACAGCAAGGTTACAACAGTAAAAATTTTACATAAACTTACCAGCATTGGAGTTATATAGAGAGAGAGCTCATCAAAGAACGGTAAGAAAGAAGCCTTAAAGGTTTTGATCAAAGTGGCCAGGCAATCCCCAACCTGATTTGGAATATGACAGAACAAATCTGATCATAATTTAATTTCATAGCTTAATGACTAATGCATTAAAAAGCAAAGTAGAAAATATCCTTCATGGACTTCATTATTAACCTGATCAAACACTTCTTCCTCTTGCTCATTTTCTTCTTTAAGCACCTCTTCTTCCTCTGCATCGAAGTCTTCTGCCTTTGTTCGTTCTGCCCTTTCCTTTTTCCTAGCTGCACTTGCTGTTATGACATGCTTTATTTGATCAACTATGCTTCTGACTTGGTTTTCACTAAGAAGTAATCCAGCAAGCTGCATAGAACCAAAATAAAAAGGTTAGAAACTGCAGGTAGAACCAAGAACTCTTTTTATGTGTAACAACATAAGGAGGTCCTTGTGGCTTACTAAACAAACAGTTATTAGCTCATTTTTAAAGTTCTATTATGACAAATATTTTAAGAAAATGCTACAATATAAGGTTCTTTAAATAGTCGGTGTACAGTCTTGAATGTACACCATCAAATAGAATAACTTGACCTACAATTGCACATAGAGGACAAGTCTTGATCTCTAGATCTAAATAAAGGCATGCAGATCCTGTGGCATCTGAATTTCTGTTATGGTTTAAGGAAATGTTTACCATCCAAGAGATGGATATATGAATATATCCTGTAAGATGGATTTATGGACTTATGGATGTGCTCAATGTATGAGATCATCTGTTAAATTTCTTTCACAATAGAATCTCAATGCATTAAGACCCACTCACGACTAAGGTTCGCTTGATGATTCAAAATCAGTTGTAGGATTTATAAATGGATCGAACTAGATTGGTTATATCAGATTGTGGAGTCATCTGATGGAGTAACAATACGCCATGTTCTTATGAAATCCAATGAAAATTCAATAAATTAGGTCAAATTGTTGAAAATTTGCTGGGGAAGCCAGGAAGATAAAAAGAAAAAAAGAGAAGAGACAGAAAACGAAAAAAAAAATTTCTGGTCTCAAGTATCTCATGATTATTAGGTTAAGCTTCCATTTAACTTTTTCATATATCATCTATGTATCTTTGTTACTAGACTATTTTAAGGCCATATGGAACAATTTGAAGTTTATTCCAAATTAAGGCTTGCATAAACATATTGACATTGGACCCCAATAGTTAATAGACTAGCAGATATCATTTTTATAGTAACTTAGAAAATAAAATGGAAATGAAATTCAATAGAAATCAGGATCATCTGAAAAATACTTCAGCAAAGGTCTATTTTTGCTAGCTTATTATTGTCATAAAACAATTATTAAAGTGTGCCTAATTGTTTTTGACATTTAATAAACTGAATTGGGTAATTCTTGAATAAAAGTCCATTATTTATTTTAACAAGTCTATTCAATCCAATATTTGGAATGTTTTTAAAAAAAGAAAATTAATTTTACTTCAAATTTCATATTTTGACTTAGAAATTAATTTTACTTCAAATTTCATATTTTGACTTAGTTAAAATCTCAACGCCTTTCTTAGAAAGTTAAAAATAAAACTAAATTTTCAAGACAAAACAATTTTTTGCATTTCTACAAACTTTATATCACAATTATTATTTCTAATCATTGAACAAATAAATTTGAAATGATATTTTTAGGAAATTAAATTTAAAAATTATCAGTTTATTTTATCAATTTATTAACGATTAAACCATATGTCGATAAAGAAATCAGTCCTTTTTTACTCAAGCTTCATGATGTTGCAAATGATATATAATAAGCTATGTCAAGTCAAAAGAATCTCAAAAATGGAATATATCAAACTGAGACATATTAGGTTCCAAATGATATATAATGTTATGTCAAGTCAGAAGAATCTTAAAACGCGATGGATGGAGAAAATCCATAGACTGTTGTGTACTTCAAGTCACACATTGCGTTTCAAAGTTATATGATGATTTAAGTTCATATCCAAGTCAAGATGGAACTGAATTTGATATGTAACCATGAGTAGTGACTGCTCAACAAGCAGTATTCAACAGTCAAGGCTTTCAATATATGGATGAATATTGTTTTTGACCAAAGAAAGGTGGGAATGGATCCAATTCTTTAACCATATATTATCATATGAATGAAATGTATTTCTAAAAATTACATCGTTGCAAATAATCATGAATTGAAAAAACTATAAATGTGACACAAAAACGTCATAAATCTTATCATACTTCCTTTTACAAAGATCTACCATGCTAGTTCCAATCTCCCTTTAACATGTTTGATGTAAAAGAAATCCTTCAACTACCTTCAACTAAGTTTGGCCAAGTAACTCATTCGAATACGCTACTCTAGACAAATTACAACTACTAATATGTACAAGTGTCACGTTCATATTCACGTTTGTTATCTGAATGTGTATGGGTAGGGGTTAAGTTGTAACACTGCACACACTGAAATATCTAAATATATTAAAAGTGTCAGATCTTGAACTCTAGCAATATTTTCTTGAACTTTGCCAGCTTAAGAGTGCTAGAATCTGGCTTATACCATATTTGTGGTGTGTGATGATCATCTGAGAAGCCTAGTGCCCCTTCTCAAAAGAAAAGCTTTGTGAGCTTACGTATGATAGTATTGGTTGTATATCATATTTGTGGCATGGGATGATCTTCTGAGAGGCTAAGTGTCCTTTCTCAAAAAAAAATTACAACAAAGCAACTTTATGCTAAGGCAATACCTGCATGCATTCATTTAGTGAATCCAGCATGCTAGCGCAGATTTCTGTTTCAGGTTCCTGCAAAATGATGATTCCGATTGCTAAAAAATCAATAACTTTGCACATCATACAACAACCAATATCATTCAATCAGATAGTTAGGATTACCTTCTGCAATGCTTCAACAAGAGCTGGAATGATATAGTCTGCTAATTGTTTAACATATGTTTCATCACGACCTTGAGCTTGCCCCTTTTCAATTGCTAGTTTTGCTGATCGTAGCAGTTCCGGCATGGCTAGAGACAAGTAGAAGAAATGCGTTGGACTTGGATCATTAACAAACTAAGCTGAAAAAAATAAATAACTGAAAAAGAAAAATAAGAATATATACCTGCAACAGCAGCCTTCCTCACTTCTTCATGGAAATAAAATTTAAGAAGAGGTACCAATGTAGGAGCAACCTGCATTTCATTTGAGTTTTATAGCATTGGTTACCCTACGGCAGTCAGTTGCATTATAAATAAATATGACTGATCACAACCGACCTGATCAATCCATGGGTAGAAGCCCTCCTTGAGCTCATCAGCATAGCAACAGAGCATGTTACAGGCTGTAGCTTTTTCCTCCAAGACACTAGTCCTAATACCTATCCTTTTATCTCCAAGAGTGATTGTTTCAACACTGCAAACAGACGCAGAACTAAGAAAAATAATAGCATACGATTATAACTATAATGTTGCAACCATAGTTTGACCAGATCAGCTCAATGAACAAACAGAAAGAAAAATGATAATATTCTCTTTTTTAATATTCTCTTTTTTTCACTTTTTGCATAAAAAACAAACCTTTCATCATCTGAATCTTCGATATCATCGTCTGAATCTGCTGAAGTAATAGTCACATCTGGTTTCAGCTGAGCAGATTGAAGTAATGGGGGCATAACAACACTCATGTAAGGTAGAAAATCCTGTCCCAAGCATTTGCACAACCTGGCCCATGCCTATTCAAAAAGAAGAATGATTAACATCAGGCTTATCATTTGTCTAAAATATTAAGCTATTAGATCTCAGGGACACCTGAAGCATGTAGCTTGTGGTAGGGTCGTCTGTCTCCATCTGTGATCCTTGCAATGCCATCAGAACTTCCATTACCTGGCACATAAAAGTCAGTTAAATGATAAGATTGTAATGCCTAATCAATAATTAGATCAGTAGCAAAACTAGTTTAGTTGAACTACAGAGAAACAACCGTAGTTTTCACAAAGTTAACAAAAAGATATCTGAGACTAACTCTTCAAAGGACAAAAGAAAGCAGGAGTGTGACAATGAAATTCCTTTTGATAGTTTAATGTATAAATTACTAGTTTATCAGTTTTATTCAGGCTTCAAACAACATACAAATACTTAGTACTCACAATATCTGTAAAGAAACAGTACAGTATATATACTAAATAACAGCAACACACCAAAATTCATGGTGTAGTTTTTTCATCAAAGCAGCATCAAAAACTAAAGACCTCGTCATTCAGCAACCATCTTCAGAACAAGAAGGTATAACATCTTAAATTCCATAAAGATTTAAAAATTATATATATATATATATATATATATATATATATATATATATATATATATATATATATATATATATATATATATATCATTTGAATATATTATGCCCACCACATAAGACCCCCACTGTATCAAATTTTAAAATTACTGAACTTACTGAAATTTTTGTCAGTAAATTGCCTGTACACCATAATGAAAATGAATTTTACATTTCAATAGCATTTAAGCCCAAATCCTTATGCTCACATTAAAAAGTAGTATATAAACAACTTAATGAAAAAAGTGAACCTATAAGCCTGTTCCATGTACAATCATCCAGCTTTCATGTTAGAGACTTTGACATATGAATCACAAATGAAGTAACAATAAATATGAAAAAAATTATTGTACCTGTTTAGCATCATCCCTGAACTTCTCCTTGCCCACTGCCATTCCAACCAAACTTATGCACTCCATCGATTTCGCACGAAGCATCCTGTTTGACTTGTTAGTTGCATTCATTAATATAACTTTGAGGTAAGGCATAACAGCATCATAGTACTTCTGGAAATGTTCCTGCATTGTCAGTGTCATAATAAGTCTGGTCAACAGCACATATTGCAAACAGCTTAACAAAACTGGTTTTAACAAGTACTTGTGATGAATCTGCCACTGAGGCCAAGGCTGTTAAAGCTCCTTCTTGCACCATCTGCTTCCCATTCTGAATGGAACATTACAATTTTTCAAAATTATTTTCAAGTTCCCAACCAAGAGCAGAGCGAAAACATTGATAGTATACTAGATCAGTGCAAATTTGAGGTTATACCTGCAGAAGCACAAGTAATTTTCCGACAATCCCATCTAGGTAAGGTGTCAAAATATCAGGAGTGCAGTTCTCACAGAAATTCAGAACTGCCGAAGCTGCGTGCGCCTAAGGGATCAATTGATATTAATTGAGAAAGAATGGCCCAGAACATTTTGTTTTCAAAAAATGTACATCATCGAGAAGCATGCAATCAATATATAAAGGAACATACAATGAATGACAAAATTATACTGCCGTTGAGATTGCCTCACAACGTAAACCAAACGTTGTCTTTCTCAATAGGATTTTTACAGTCCAAACAGAAAAAAGAGCATAAACAAAAAGAAAAGCAATAATCAGGAAGTCCCACTCATTAAATATAACTCAAGAGTGGCACAGGACTCCTAAAAGATTAATGTCATAACATTTTCTACGATGAAACATGTATTCAGATATGCCTCTACTTGATTAGCCAAAGAATAAATATGGCTACAAAGAATGACAACCAAACCCATGCTAAGTAAAACTAAAGGACACAGTAAATCCTCATATGAGGCTAATCCCTGAATTATTAGTAATTTTGAAGGAGACAGAAAGATGTTGCTTCATAAGTTATGAGATCACCACTTAGAACTCATTTCAGTCTGTTGTTTTATTATAGTTTCATATTGTGTTAGATCAAAATAAAAGCCTACATTTCGCCCAAGGTTAATTCTTATATCTAACAAAAAAGCTTCAAAACTAATTACAAACTGGTTTAAGCCTCACAAAGGTTCACCCAGTAATGAATGGTCCAACAAGCAATTATGATAGGCAAGACAAGAAAAGTCAGTTTGCATAAGATGGAAAAACATACTTCACGAAAGACAAAAAGAAATAAAGGACAACATTCAACTATTGTTTTTGTTAATTACTACAACTAACACACTTTCCATCTACCACCAATGTTATGATATTCATAATCCATGATTCTGCAAGAAGCAGAGGATATGGTAGAATAGAAAATAGCTATTAACCTTTAACAAAATAGGAAAGGTAAAATAATCTTAAATTATGAGGTTTAGAACAAATCTTAAATTTCACAAGTGAATTTTTCTTTTTTACGTTGTCATTTCATTAAACACATTTGATTTGCATAGTGATCAGAGAAGCACCAAGGCCATGTATGAGTTCTGACCAAGCAATGTCTTGAAAGCTGCAAGTATATAAGTTTTATATTTCTTAAATGGCATAGAATGTAACTATTTACTACAATCATATTTTTAATTATATGATTAAATATTTCCCTATAGAATATCATTATTGTTATTTAATAGATTATTTCCACTAATTTTTATTATTATATTGTATACATTTTTACATTTTATATTTTAGTTCCATATGTTTCCAAAAAGTTTGGCATTTAGTAAATATGAAGGTAAACGAATTTTTAGGATTTGTTGTTTTATTTTTCCACAAATTTCATTTTATTTTTTTATTGTATGTTTCCATTGTTTAAAAAATATATTTTCTCATTGATCCCACCATCTGATTGGACAATTTCTCTGGCTCCATAACAGACCATCAACACCTAATTCCAAACACCGACTATATATTGCCCATTTTACAGACTGGATCATAAAATCAGAAACTAATCCAATATTAATTATGTAGTCCTGAGTGAGCAACAATTCTAACTTATCCTCCAAGAGAAACAAAAAACACATATTGCCCCATGAATGCTTAGTGCACTTTCAAATCTTAATTGAGTTCATTAAACTCTAAAAGATCTTAGAAATGGTTCAGAACAGAGTCAACACAAAATAGTGTCTTTAGTCATGTCCATCCATGTAATCAAAATGCAAATATTTTCTGAATTAGTGCAGTATAACTCTCAACTAGAAATTCATTACAACACAATTTTTCCAATCAAGCGAAAAAAATGATATCAGCCATTCCAATCATACATGAACTCATCTTATAATACTTGTTGAAAATATCATAACATCCAAGTCAATCAAACTACATGTCTACATGCATTAGAAAGTATTTGATCACTTGCAAATAATGCTTCCATTTGCTTACCAAGAATCAGGCTCCACTAACGAATATTTAGCTTACAAATAGCTTGATTATGTTCAAGAGATAGATGTTAGTCTTAAGCAGGCTGTCTCCGTATCCAGTGTTTCAAAATTTATGTATTCTTACCCAATTCATTGTGGTAAACAAAACCAAGCATAACCCCCCATCAAATAAGATAATGATTCAAGAGATAAGCTTAACTAACTCTCAAGGTGGTCATACTATAAGTCATTCAAGTAACCCTAAACTAGATGAGTTCTATAGAAATTAAAATAACAAAAGCTTAACTGTTTTCTTAGTGCTGCTTAAAGTGCATGAGATAAGCATGGAATAGTATGACAGATAATTATAAGAATAATTTTCATGGAATCAACAAAACAGACAATATATTTTTTACAACAGCTGACTTTTCTTAACTAAGGAGAATGACTTGGATTAATTCATCTATGTTTATGGTAGACAACCTGAAATCATAAATCACAAACTTCAACACTCTAAAGTGCTTGCCTGCACACGGGGATTCTGGAAATCATCCATCGCTGTTGCCAATGCTGGGAGCACTCTCTGGTGATATTGGACTTGCAAATCCGGTCCCAGATCCGTCGACAACTGTCCAATAGCATTAATTGCTGCCCAACGAACTCGAGGATGGGGATCCTGGAATGAGCTTAGGACCATGGTTATCACCTGCTCCAGGTTTTTTAACATCACCTGCACAAGAAGTTTAAGGAAACAAAATATGACACCATTGATGCTAACAATACTACACTTATATGAAAGAAACTCTCATTATGATGATAACAAAATCATATCTTTCAACAAAGAAAAGCCTAATTAACTAAAGACTACGTTACCTTTGAGCAACCTTCAGCGATCTGAGCAAGAGTGATTAGGGCTGCATGGTGTTTCTGCCACTCAGGTGCGGCAAGGTAGGCTGGCAGCAGTTCTGAGGCAACTGGCACGATTGTGTTTCCACCAACTGCGATGGCAAGACGATCGAGGCACTCCTGGGCCACCCCATAATTACTAGTTTCCCCAGCATCCTCATCCTGAACCTCTGCGCTGTGCCAGGCAGGATCATCCTCTATATCCAGCAACATCTTCATGAGCACAGCAAAGAGCCGGCTAACAAACTGGGGTAGCTTCCGCATCATCCCAGGGGCACGCTCCCTCGCCTCCGCAAGGGTGATGACGAACTCGATCGCCAGGTGGCGTGTGCCCTCCTCGAGTCCATCAGCCTCCGCAATCTGCAGCATGGCACCGACCACATCAGCCAGCTGTCGGCGAAGAAACCGTGGCTCTGCTCCAGCCAGCTCAACGAGGAGCTCAAGGGCCTCCTGAGCGGCGGCCTCCTGCCCAGAGTTGAGCGACTCGGTGAGGGTGCGCATCATGGCGGGAAGGAGATCGGCGAGGCGGTTGCGGTCGGCAGCAGACTCGAGAGAGGTGACGAGGTTGACAGCCGCAGAGAGTGCAGAAACACGGACGTCGGGAGAAGAAGGGTGGGAGAGGGCGGAAAGGAGAAGGGAGTGGAGGGTCGGAAGGTGGGGCCCGACGAAGGAGGCATCATCGGCTAGGACGTAGGCGATCTGGGCGAAGACGAGGAGGGCGGACTCCTGGAGGCGGGGGCTGGTATCGGGTGCGGAGACCGCGTGGAAGAGGAAGGGAAGCAGGTCGTTCCAGGCGGCATCGGGGAGAAGGGAGACGGCGAGGGCGGAGACGGTGTCGGCGACCTTCTTGGCGATGGAGCGGTCGGGTTCGCGATGGAGGACCGATAGGAGGAGAGACTTGAGGGAAGATTGGGAGGAAGGGGAAAGGCGGGGCCAGAGGGGGGCATCGGAATCGCCGCCGCCGCGGTGGGTGAGGAGCTTGCGGAGGAGGACGGCGGACATAGCTCGGAGGTCGGGGGAGGGAGAGGAGTGCAATACGGAGGCGAGCTTGAGGACGAGGGCGTCCGGGTGGAGGTCACGGCAGAGGTTGAAGAGGGACTCCGCCTGAGCGCGCTGCTCGTTGGAGGCCGACATCAGCTGGCCAATCAGAGACTCGAAGGGCCCCGATTCCGCCGCCCCAAGAATTGCCGCGATCTGCTGCTGCTGCTGTTGATCCATTCTCGTTCTCTTTAGGGTTCCCGACGAGGAGGAAGAAGAAGTGGAAACGACTTGGAGCAGATCGAGACGAAGATTGAGGAAGGCAGCCGGAAGTCGCTCGCTCGCTCGCTCAATCTTTCTCGCGGATTTGGGGGCTTTGCCGACCCTTTTATTATTAGGGTTTTGTATAGCAGAAGAGAGAGAGAGAGAGAGATTAGGACGTGGGGGAATCGGTCCGTAACTGTTAATTGCCAGAGTGAAATTTGATTGGGCCCAATGTGGATTCCCAAGTTGGTCGATTGGGCCGTTACTGACATATTTGTTATCTTTTTTTTTTTTAGGTGTGAGGAGCCCTTAAAAGCTTTTTTCTTTTGGAAAAATAATATTTAGAATATTATTATTTTATGATATTTGATATATTTTTTTTATATATTTATATTATATATATAAGGTATATATATAAAAGAGTGGTGAAAATATGGTCAACGGAAGATTTAATTTCCAACAAAATAAATTAACTTATATGCAGATTAAAAAAAATGTGGGAAGTGTATATGATGCATGTGCATGCGACGCAGCTCAGCTAGAATAAAATAATAAATATTATTTTTAAAAATAAGAAAATATGTTGATATTAAACAAAAACATAATGCCAAAGGCTACAATTTCCAACAAATAAAAATAAACAGTGGCTACAAGTACATAATGATGATGATTAAGATCAATAAGTACAGACATGGAGGAAGTTTTGCAAGCTATAGCACTTGATTTACCAGTAAAATAGACTAACTTAGGAAATAAAAGAACAATGAATGATGGAACGGATGTCTTGAGAACAAAAGTAATGATTTATGTTTAATTATTTTGGTGGTCTTCTTGAAAGAATGGGTTGTTTACAAGTCCACATGATGAGAGATGCACACTATATAACTACAGCTGGAAGGACAACATTTATATGATAAAGTAGGACTGAGTGGAGATGAAGAGTTAATCAATAGGTGGCATCAACTAATATTTAAGTGATGACAATGACCGATTTCAGACAAAGCTAAAATGAAAATTTTCTTTTATTTTTATTTATCTTCTTGATGTTGCTATTGTGCTGTTAGAATTGGAAGGAATGTTAAGAATAAAAGACTCTTTCTAGTGTACCAAATTGAGCAAAAAAAAAAAAAACAAGGGAATTCTATGAACTTTGTTTGTGTTGGAAATATTTGGGGCTTGGGATATTTAATTTGTCTAAATGATTTAATTAGCACATGGAAGAACAAACCATGGTAGAAGAAAAACCTTTGGCTACTAACAATAATATTCACGGTAAGAAATTTTAATCTGGTAATTCAAAATTTTTGGTGAGGAATTAGATATATCAAGGATAGAGGTGAATTTATTTTAAAGGAAAACAAATCCCAAACCATAAGTATCTTAAAAAAGAAATAGGAGGTGGCTGTGTTAAATTGTTCCTAACAAGTCTCCCAAAAATTCCGAGCTATTTTGCAACAAATTCTTGTTATGATCCAGAGCGGTACTAAGAGGGAGGGTGAATTAGTGTAGCGAAAAAAAATTTCGATTTCAAAAGACTTTATTTCGATTAAAACCGATTCTGACGAAAATGATTTCGATTCAATCCGTTTTGGAGAGAATTTGAACTTGCTTTCGTAAAAGTGCAAGAGAAGATTGAGGAGATTTGCAGTAATATAAATTGTACAAATAAAAAGTGTCGGTTTCGTAAAGTCTTCATATGATTAAAACCGATCTCGGAATGTGTTTACTTGAACGCGTATGTGAGCGTAGGCGTATTAAAAGCACAGTAAGGAGGAGAGGCAGTTTGCTATAAAAGCAAATTGCTCAAAGTAAATGCAAACTGCGTTTTAGAGTGGTTTGGTCAATGTGACCTACATTCACTTTTGGATTCCTCCTCCGACGATGTCATCGGCATCCACTAAAGACCTTCCTTCAATAGACGAAGGCCAACCACCTTTTACAACTCTTTCTCCTCTTGCCAGGTTTAGGAGATAACCTTTACAAGTCTCACTTCTCTTTTTTGGATAGTTACAAGGCTAAGAGATGAAGGAGGAGAACTCTTCACTTTTACAATACTTTAAGACTCAAGAACTCAAGATTATGCCAACACTTTTTGTGCCCTTTCATGTAGAAAAGGGTGGGGTTTTTATAGGCCCCAATGGCTTCAAAATTGGAGCCAAAAAGTATCTCGTCCTGGATTTCTGGGGTATTGGCAATACCACCACCATTACTGGGCGGTACTACCGCCTGCAGTCTGACACTGGGCGATACCATCGCCTGACAGGGGTAGTACCACCGTTGGCAACAATAACTGCCGGCGATACCACCGTTCAAACCATCTGGGGGACTATGTTCCAAGCGGTGCCACCGCTGGACAAAGTCTAACAACCTGGTTGGGCCTTGCATTCAACCCAAACCATCCTAGCTTTGAGCCTAGTTGGCCCCTAACAGAGTTGATGGGATTACTTCCCAAATCAACTCTAATTATCGTTCTAACTACGATTAAGGCAAGCATGGTCCGATATGTCGATTTTTCACTCGGCAATCCTCCAGCGAACTTCTCGGCAAGTCTTCCAGCGAGCTTCCGGCGAACTCCCGACCAACTCTCGATTAGTCTTCCAGCGATCTCCCAACGAGCTTTCGACGAGTCTTCCAACATGCTTCCGGTGATCTCACGATAAACCCTCGGCAAGCTCCCGATATATCGTTCGAGTCTTCGACTCCGGCCTATCATCTGCTTTACGCCTTATTATTATCGTAGTTAATCCTAACACTTATCTCAACATATGGATTAGATTAAATAATTTACCAATTGATTTCATCATCAAAATTCGAGATTCAACAATCTTCCTCTTTTTGATGATGATAACCAATTTGTGAACGAGTTAATCTTAACTCCCCCTATCTATATGTCGTAATTGAGAAAAGACACTATTAAATTCAAGGCTTTTGAATTCAATAATCAAATCGATAAGTTAGGTTCATTAAACTTATCGACATGCACATCATGATTCTTATCATGATCTAATATTCTCAAAATACGATGTCAAGTATTTATCAAAATGATGTCAAGACATGACATCTATTTTCAAGTATGATATTTCAAATATAGCAAATCATCATTCTATGGCAAGATATCAATTGTAAAATAGCAGGTTAAGCTCTAGATATCTTATCATAATAAAAGAAATTTATCAAGCAAACATTTCAAGTACATATGATGAAATATATTGCATATATTTGTCATCGATTTATCACATTTTGGTATTATCTCTCCCCTTTTGTCATCAACAAAAAGGAGGATAAATAGCTTCCATCAACTTCTCCCTTTTTTTTCATCAAAACTTTGTATTAAGAAGGAAAGAAGGAGGAAATCTATTAAGAATCAACTTTATGAAATGATTTGAATCAAGTCAAAAATGATAAAAGATTTTCATTAAATCATGCTTCAATTTTCACAAGGATCGAAATATTCATGTGAAATCAAATCCTCACTCTTGCAAGTAATAATCACACGTTAAAATTTATCTTTCAAAGATCAAGATATTCATTGAAATTTAGAAAATTCAACTTTCATGAGAGGAATAAAGAGGAATTCATGGGAGAGGAGTATAATATGGAAGAGAAATTTATGAATAGAACTTCATAGTGAGAGGAGCATTACATCAAATCCATTTCTCACTAAAAAATTTATAAGAGTGAAATCCTTGAGAGATGCATTTGTCAATGAATTTCATATATCAAATATCATTATATGATGAAGCAAGGATATGGAATAAACTTGATATGACATAAACTCATGAAAGCTCCATTCAAGAAATTCATAAAGATAGTCCAAAAAAGAAATATGATAACTCATGCATTCAAACAATTTAACATTCCTAACTCCGCAAATGATCATAAAATAATGCATCAAGTTATAAATACCAAAAGTTGAATGTATCAAGAAATTTATTCATTTAAAAGATTTATCAAGTCTAATTCTTAGAGTGATACATTCATTAAAGTAAGCTTAGAATTTCACCATCAAAGTAGGCAACATAAGATTACAATATAAAAATAAGCGTAATACAAGAGAGAGATTTCATCCACTTCTCCCCCTTTGTCATCAGGAAAAAAAAGCATACGCAGCTTATTCAAGTGGTGGTAAGTTAAAATGTCTAAACAAGGTATTAAACTGTTGATGAATCTGTTGCAACTCAGTCAAAATTTGATTTTTAAAAGAATGTCAGAGATTGATCATTGATCTAGTGGGAAGTGGGGATTTTTTAGTTGTTAGAGGGAGAGCAATAGGTTTGGAGTTGTTTAGAGGAGTGCATAATATGTTGGGGTCGGTTCTACCACCGGCCGTAACTTGTGTTTATAAGGGGGCAGGTTGCGAGCGGTGGCATCACTGGCTGGGTGGTGCTACCACCTACAACATGTGACAACTAGCGGTGCCACCGCCTACAGGCAATGAGCATGGCTTACAAAGCACACACACACACTCACACACATCATTATGTAAAATTTGCATCATAAGATGAGAAGATCCATATCAAAACATCATGTAAAACTCGTAAAATGTATATCACAAGTTTATGATTCATATCAAAACATCATACAAAACTCATAAAATATATACTATAAGTTCATGAATCAAGTGAGCGAACTTTGTAAGATAAAAATTGAGAAAGTCCAAAAATAAAATTTAACAATATTCATGCATTTGGACAATTTAACATCCCTAATTCCCTTCTAATGAAATCAAATTGTTCTCCATTTAATGTTTTTGTAAAGATATCAGCTAATTGATGTTTCATATCAATAAACTCTAATATTATATCATGATTATTAACAAGATCTCGTATGAAGTGATGTTGAATGTCAATGTGTTTAGTTCTAGAGTATTAAATATGATTTTTTGCTAAGCATATTGCACTAGTGTTATCACACTTTATAGGTATGTTTTTCAGGTCGGTTCCATAATCCTTTAAAGTGTTTTTCATCCATATAACTTGAGCACAGTATGCACTTGCAACTATGTACTCAGCTTCAGTTGTAGATAATGTAACCAAGTTTTGTTTCTTGAAAGACTAAGAAACGAGTGCGTGTCCTAAAAATTGACACGTTCCGAATGTGCTTTTTCTATCTAAACTATATCAAGCAAAATCTGTATTAGCAT